TGTTATACTTAAAATGTAGTTTTCAGCAAAAACCAGGGGCTGCCCCCTATCTATATACTCATATACTACTGAGAATTACTTCCCTTGAAGTAAAATGTATGTAAAACGTTGCTATATGAGTTAAAAATTTTGATACACATTTTATAAAAGTTACAATCAAAATATTCATTCAAAATTAATCTCGCACATGACGTATATGTATATATAAGTATATATAATATACTAATACAAAAAATCATATTGTAAGATAAGTTACAATTGATTCGGTTATTTCTAGATTAAACAGTCCATAATTCTTCAAGGTTTATAGAAAAAGCCGAGCATTGCTTAATATTATTGGATTTGCCAACAATTCTCATGACAAATATACACTTTGATTTGATTCGTAGAAAGTCTTAATTTTGGCAAATCATGAGAAATATTGGATCGCAAAACTGAGTATTTTGACTGACAATTTTGAATGTTTTCAAACAGTAGTACCATACTTGAACGTATTTCAAAATGTGTTTAAGTAATTATTATCTTTTCAAATAAGGTTGTGATTAAAATGTTCATTAGGATGCTTTATCTTTTCATTCCACTGAAGTGCAAATGATGTAAAAGGGAATAGTGCTTTTTCATAATAAGGTGGTTATTGCATTCAAAGTATAAGACGTATATGCTTGTGATAGCTTGTCATCGTGAACACTTTCCTGTATCTTGGTCGTATCATTTCTTCAGAAAAACAGATAACTTGTACAGATGTTCATTATCTCAGACTTCCAAAGTTATCTTAAAGATAAGACATTTAACAAACCTACTTCATTTGACTATCTAGAAAACAACACTACAACAAGATGAAAAAATTTATCCTCGGAGCTTTTGTTTTAATCTGTGTCATTCACGTGAGTGTTTTGATTACTCACCCAGCACCCAGCACTTTCCGACACCCAGCACTTTTACAATTCAACATGCGAATACACACTGTTGACACTTCCAGTAATTTTATCATAAGTAGATAGATATTACCGATATTTCCTGGCAAAGAAAATATTGCTACAACTGTATCTCTTTAATTTGAAAAAAGAAACCTATTATAGTTTGTCTGATGAAGAAACTATGCTGAAATTGTACCATTTCATGTGGATTTTCTTTTTGTAGGCTACATTGAGTGTAGGGTGTCCTAATGGATGTAAGGCAGATGAATGCTGTGTAGGTTTTTATGCTCCAATCCTCAGTAAACGACAAATGAAGATTTCAGATCTCATAAGCCCAATTCATAGTAATTTGAAGCTCCATATGTGTAGTAAAATGAAGCGTCAAGGTGAGAGATGTCTGGTACACAATAGATCAGGAGAATGGTGTGATTGTGAAGCAGGCACTACATGTGTCGCTCGTGGAAAATCTGGTTTAGATAGATTATTTGGTAGTTGTAACAAGGCTTAAATTTAATTGAATAAAGTTTATAATTTATTTACTTGTTCTGTAAAATTTTACTTGCAGATCAATTCTTAGGCATTTATTGTAAAATTTGTCGAGATACGTTAATGTGTTAAGCTTTTAATGATTTAAGCATACATGTATTTTGTAGATGTATGTCATTGTCCCAACCTAGTGACACCGGTTATACCTCTTGATTACCTTTAACACTCCACTCAGATTCAGATGCCGAGATACGAGGTTAACATTTTATGGTCTTAGCTTCGATACTAAGGGAATAAATCCTGAAATGAAAAGTGTGATCGTTTTTTATCTGGATCACCCATGTATTATGTCAAAGGGAAATAAGCCAATATTATTTTACTTGATTTTTAAGTAAATTATTCCTATATATATGAGTTCATAGGAGGTAGTAGATGGAAAGGTAGGGAGATGAGGTATCTTTTGGATTAACCGATGGGTAGACACAGGCTACAGCCCCATCCATAATGATTTGAAGGTCAACATGTGTTGTAAGAAGCAGCGTCAAGAGATGTCTTTTTAGGAGAATGGTGTGATTGTGAAGCAGGTACTACATGTATCACTTGTGGAAAATCTGGTTTAGATAGATTTTGTAGTAAAAAGGTCTAAACAAAAGTTTATCATACATGTTCAAAATGAAAGGGCATATATAAAACTGGACGTCTCTCGGTGATGCCCTTTGGGACCCCGAAATGAGGCAAAAAAATATTATGTGGTACCACATCACACTGGGCAAAAGATGATTCCTGCCAGACACTGCATTTGGCCCGCCAGAAACCCAAAAGGGGCCTGAAAATTTCAGGAAATCAGACGGAGAGGCTGATAAAGGTCCTTATGGCAGTGAAGTTCGGTTGCACCACAATCTTGAAGCAGGTACTACATGTGTCGCTGGGAAATCTGTTTTAAATAGATAAGTTGTAACAAGGCCTAAACAAAAGTTTGTCATATTTTCAGAAATTGCAAATGTTGCATACAATTACAAAAGCATTTGTCAGTTTAAAATGTCAAAGAGTATCACTCTGCTGCAATCACCGAAGAAGGGCCTAACATTTTTCGCTATATAAAATATTGGTACCATTTGAAATGAAGTTTATTTTCTTTGATACGTCTCACAGAGTACAAAATGGTCAATGCCAGATAAATTCCCGCCAGACATGCCAAAAAGATGACCCAAGTATAGAACATCCTAGATATGAAAGGCGTCTGCCAGCCACCAAAAAGTGTCTTCGATGACGTAGAGTGGAAGGACAGAGGTAGAAAAATATACCGAGACTCTATTTTCCGTACGATAAAGGTCCTGCTGCAGTTAAAAATTGAAAAAGCAATCTCGTGTTAATCAGCCCGAACTAAACCTTTTACTGAACTGTGAATACAAATAATAGTCCAGCTCACTTCATTTACAACATCAGTAACCAGTAACAACATTGGATAACAGTTCCTCATGTAACGCTCATACAAATATTGTCAAGCCAGAGCCACTGACAAAATGTGACTAAAGTTGTTGCATAAAAACACTATGTATGGAATATTAATATATTTAAAATAGATTTAATGAACACGAAGTTAGTAACAACAATGCTATTATTTACAAACAACCGGAATTAACAATATATTATGCAAATATGGACAAACAAAACTATATCTTATAATTTCACCTTTCTCCTCGGCTTGCCAGTACAAGAAATATGTGGTACTTCTACACGTTGTTCCTGCAACATATTGTATACATTTTAAGGAACAGATCAAGCTCCCTTTTCCGAATTATGTATTGACAATTTTTACAATTAATCTAATAATCGTTCTTTAAGCTTGAATTGAATTTTTTAAGATTTTATTTGAGTGAAATTGCATATATTATTTTTTGGGGAGAATTCTATGTACATTTACATAAACATTTACATAACAGATAATTTTATATATAAAAATATTCATAAATCATTCTAAGACTTATTTAAAATGTTAGAAAATATACTCTTTCAAATGAACGGATTTTGAAAAAGGCAAATACATTTTAACATGGAATGGACTTTCTGCATATATTGTTAATTTTACTGATTAAAAGAAAAAAATATAAATTCACAAAAATCGTGGTTGCATTTAATTACAGTTTCTACTCCTATTGTTTTGTTGTTGTTCAACCGTATAGCCCTATTAATATAAGGCAACATTTAACGTGCATATTAGGTGTTCAATATAATTGTTCTCCCTCAAATTTCACTTTGAAATTTAGAAAAAATTAACATATAATAATATATAATCTAAAATATTCAATTTCTCTTGTAAAAATGTTACAACAACATATATTTACACTGGATTAGGCAAGATATGTTTTAGACTAGCAAGGACATTGATCCAACCCCGGGTCCGATTCAAAACAAAAATCCACAATCCAATCCACTTAAATTAAAGGTAGTTTGATTGGCTATCAAAACAATGTCAAGTCTAGCATATTAAGTTTCTATTAGTATTCAGTCTACCTTAAGATTAAATAGACTATCTTATTAATCGGACCCGAAAGTGCAAGAATATTCTGGCTTGACTATACTTGCATCATTTCTATACTTGTAACCATGTTTACGCTATCGTACCGCTCTGATAACAGTCACAGTAAAATTGTGGTATATGTACATAGTATATTTACACATTGTATAAATATAATTATGGTCAAAATGAGATTCAAAATAAACGTAACATTGAGCAATGAAAATAAACATCACTTCTCGATCGGAACACTAATAATATATTTAAAAATACGCTACATTTCAATTCTAAATTTGAACCCTTCAGATAAAATTTGAATAATGATAAAAAGTAAAAATAATCCCGTAAGAAAAAGAGTCGTATCACCGTTTTATCCCTCAGTATAATAAGGGAAAATAATCACAATAACTCATTATGACGTTATGTACAATTCAACAACAATTAATCGGTTACTCGATATTAGTTTAAAAACAGAAAATTCAATTATGGATAATGATCACATTATGCAAAAGTAATGTAAAACAACTATTTACAAAATCTCATGGAATGTTTTCTTCTGTTGTCTTAAAAATATATCTCAACTGCCTATATTGTATAATAAGTTGCTCCAAATAAGCTGCAAATATACTGTATATTCGTCCACAGAGTTTTACGAAAATATTATTTTTGTTATATATTATGCATTGTTTCGTCCTTGGGTACCAGCCCAAATATTTAATCATGAATATCATACCCTAATACGTTTTATGTGAACACACAAAATTTCTGTCTCTTTAGGTCCTTTTCATTCATTCACACGAAAAAGGATTTTTCTCTAATGATGTCGAGTCAGGTTTCAACGCCTGTGTTTGTCAAAGGGTTTATGAAATTTATGTTTACACCAATTTAAAGTCATTTTAAATCCCACCCTAAGTTAGTTTCCGTCTGAATATACTTTACCTAACTTATATTCAAGTTGTTTTCGCGGTTTGATTAATTCTACAAGTCCATAAGCTTCTCAATACACCTCGAACCTATAATGCTGTAGTGCTATGAGTAGTCCATTATTCCAATCAATTAATTCACTTGTATTGGATACTTTATTGTTTGGTTGAAAGTCCAAGAACTTGTGACACTTAACTTACATTTCCCGAGTATAATTGATTCAAATTCACATTTTACTGAAATCCATCACACCCGGGATATTCTGGCTTCAACACCCCCAGTAGCACCACCCAATCCCTGTTCAGAAATCTGTGCAGATTCCAAACTAATGTTCATCATTGGAGAATCACGTGAAGATTCTCGAGAATATGGAACCCCAGAGGATATCACACTTATTCCGTGTGGCCCAATGTTCCGATTGGGCACTGGTGATTGGTGGGCTTTTCTAGACAAGACTGGACTGTTTACATCATTCATGGGTTCTGGTGTGTTTTGATGTAAGACGGGAAGCTCTGATGATACTCTTTGTGGTAATTGTGGTAGGTTTTGACGAGGTGGTTTGGGAATTTTATCTATGTTTCTCTGACGAAGGATTGTATGCGGTTCGGTCTCTGATGGTGATATTCGCTGTGGAGATTGATTTGGGTTTGATGACAAGGATATACTTTGAAAACTATGTGTCGGTGACATCTCATAAGGTGTACCAGCCGTCTGAGAGCTCCTGTCACTGTGGTTAGGAGACGCTAAAGTCTGTTGATGACGCGCTGGAGATTGGTGTTCATTATTCTCTGGAGGGGTGATAACATCACTGTATTCAACTTGTTCTTCAGGTGACTGTTGGTTTGAAGGCGTGTAGGGGACTTGAATCGGTAAGTGAAATCCGCGACTTGCCTGATGATTTGATGGTACATGTCCATTACCAATCAGACTTCCATGGCTGTTTGGATCCTCCATATACATCTGATCGCCATAGTACTGTGATAAAGGTGAAGATAGAGTATGTGATGTTGGTCTCTGGGTCACCTGGGTAGGACTGGATAGACCTGACAGTCTTGCGTTTGCTTGTTGAGTTAGGTCAGGTTTGACAGGGGACAAGCTTCCAGGAGTCAAGCTACCCAGAATCCCGCCTTGTGGTGATTGGCTACTGAGGATAGATCCATTGGCATGGAGATAGTGGTCATCATGGATAAATGCATGGTTATTGATACCAATATTATTCAAACTTCCAATTGAATTAAGACTTGGATTAACGAATTTTATTGTCTCCTGACCAGGATGGTAACGGGCTCTGTCAAATTGTCTGTTCTGATAAGGTATTCCCTCTCGGATAGGTTCATACATGTGCTGGTTCTCCACGGCTTGCATCTGTTTCGTCAGAGCTGAAATAGTATTTAGATATTGTAAATCTTTAGTTTAGTAGATACAATAGTGAGAAAGGCACGAGGTTGATTATTATAATAGACTGATACTTTATTCTTATCTTTTCGCCTTTTCTATATACATCAAAATGTTCATTCCAAATTCCGTTGATAAGAGCACAATAAGGGAAATTTCGTATGTGTACCATCTAAATCGCTCCGTCGGATTGTCAGTCAAGTTATTGTATGTCAAGTACACTTACCTTCCACTTTCCTTTTGAAATAAGAACAGGTGACTAATATAATCAGGATTAAAGCCAGGATTAACACACAAACAAGTACTATAAGGATTATATCTGGTATTCTAAATCGTTCATCTATTTGCGGTGAGGTTGCTGCAGGACTTGGTGATACAGAAGGTGTGACAACCTTCCGTTGGCATTTCGCACAACGATTATTCTCACACCCAGACGGCACGTAAGATAACTGATCTCCTAGTTCATTGTAGAACTTAAGTCGATCTAAATGAAGAGTGAGTCCCCGATTGTTGTAATATCCGACCTGAAAGAGATATGATAAGATTCAAAATGTGACAAGATGGAAACCAATAGCGAATAGAGAAAGATGTACTGTTGAAGAACAGTTCTTTATGAACATTACCAATTGATAAAAAAAAACTTTGAAATTGGTTTATGTGTTTTAACACATTCCCGACAAGAGAGTCCCTGTCGAGAATATAATGCTTCGTATGGCTTATTGGAAATGATATGAACTAGAGCTCCGGAATTATCGAATCGGTTGAAGTTAAATCAAACATACCTCTTCGTATACTAATTCAGAATTTTGTTGAATGTTATAAATTTTAAATCCAAGCTCTCCATTACCATTATCATCAAACAACCGGAAGTAGGAATCAGACGCTTTAGTCTTCAGCTCAATGTTTCGAATGTTCTCTAATACCATGGAACTGTACTTAGGATCGTAGAAAAAATTACATGGAAATTGACCATCATTACATATATCTGCTTTTGTCTTCTTCATGGACTCAGTAACAGCAAATACTGCACTGCGGACATGAGCTACTCTCTGATCCTCCAAATGTTCACCAAGAACCTCCTCGGTAAGTCTTAGAGAAGAGGAACACTGACTATCAAAAACATTGTTAAAGTTTCCTTTGATATTACATTTAAATAGATGTTGCCAAAATTCACTAAACCATGGATTATATTGAGTATTTTCAAGGTTCCTTGACAACATATATGTTCTAAATTCTTGAGTTTCAACCTGTGGTGATGCGAGATCAAGTGTTAGAGTTCCCCGGGCAGCTTTTCCCCCGTCCAGTAACAATTGCTGTTTTGTTCCCCACTCCTCGCTGGCTAAGAATATAAAGTCTCCATAATCTTGACCACTGTTTAAAATCTTTACCACGTCAGAGTATCGTGTGTCAATCCCGAAAAACACCACAATCTTAGCTTGACGATTTTTTAGTTCTAGGACTGTTTTGTACAGAGCTGGTTCATCTGCATTTGTTTCACTGATAGGCATGGGTTCCCCGACACATACACCGTTTTCTTCGGCAACCCTTACAAATTGATCTTTTCCCTTGGTTCCATAATTGTTAGCAACAAATAATATGTCAACATATTCCCACCCCATTGCCTGAATCACGGCCAACATTGCTTCAGCTTGGTCTTTATCACTTGGAACAGTTCGGATAAAGTATGGAAAGTTTGTTCTATCATCCAGATCAGGAGTCGACGCCGCGTAGGATACCACAGGAATATTCAAAGGAGTGAAAAATTCAGCAACGGGAATGGTTACTCCACTGGATAAAGCGCCAATTACACTTACGACCTTATTCCATGGAATGAGTTTGGTAAACATATCTTTAGTGGCTTCAAAACCACTGAAATAAGTGGACAGCGTCGTGGCTATCTTCAAAGGGTTGTAACAATCATCAAAGGCTATTGCTCCGAAGTTGATACCAGTATTAGACCTAGCCTTTTCTACTGCGTGAAGAAACCCTTCTAAAAGAACAGTATCACTGGAGACATTTCGAAAACCATCACACCCAAAACGTCCGCTTGGATCTCTCTCGTGCAATGAAAATATTCCAACCACGTATACATCTCCTTCGATTAAAATCATGGGAGTTTTGGAATCGTCTATACAACTCTTGCAATGTTTTAAACAGGCTGAGTTAGGTGGATTTAAACCATTTACTTCACTTCCATCGGCAGCCTGGAATTTTATATGAGGTTTGTCGAGATACAACACCCCATCTGTAAAGTTACCAACTTGATCAAACTGAAATTAGATAGAGATTCACTTAACTAAGAATTTCTTTGCGATTTTCTATCCTTGATTATCAAGTTTCCCCTATTTACACCACAATAAGAATACAAGAATATTCAGTTGAAAATTTTCAATGTGTCGATATTCTAAAAGTAATAATGATAACATAATAATTCAAATGATTAATTTGAAATACTTACCGATTTGGTCTTTGACATGTAAGAGTTGACAAGGTAAGATACTGACAGAGGAGTGACGTCCCCTGTTTCACTAAATCTGAAGTTACGGTTCGTATTTGTATATGATTTGGGCAGAAATTTAGGTTCGATAGTGGAGTAGTCTACTACCACGTTTCTTACATAGTCAATCAAGTTTCCAGTTTCAATATCATTCAATAAATTGGCACAAACAGTTTCTTGGTTTGGACATCTGCGAGCGTGAGCATCTTTCAGTGCTGTTAATAAAGCAAAGACAGCATCAATGGTCAAAGGCGCATAATCGGAATGTCTTGTGGACCGGACTTGTGAGGCGCTCTGTTGTAAATATTCAGTAATAATACTATCTTGGACGAGATTGTTTTCCACATCTTCTAAATGTTGGAAGTAAAACTGCACAAATTCTGGCATCTGAATAGTGGATGGAGAAAGGGTTAGTGCATTTGTTACAATTTTCTTGTTCGTGGCGAAGACATCAAGGTTTTGTCCAACGGCTTCTGACATGATCCATCGGAAGTTCCTGGATTTATCTTCTATGATACTGTGTATGTAGAACATCAAATTTTCAGCCGTATCTTTCTGTCCAAAATAAACCACAGCTAGCGTGTTTTCTTGGGCATTAAAAGATGTACTTCTCAGCTCGCTAACAATATGGGCTAAATTATCTTGTTCAATTGCTAAGGCAACTGCGATGCATATCTTTTCTTGCATGGTCCGTTCAAGTAACCTGTCTTTACCCCTCTGGCCGTATGGATCGGGTGAATATACCACTGCTATGTACGACCAGTGAAATTCTTTCAGGATTTGAATGATCGCCTACAATAAAATACAAACCAGCATGTAAATCAAAATATCAATGTTCGTTTGAGAGTCGGATGCCATGTGGCATGTATGAGTAATGGAAATGATTTCAAAATTGGGTAAATTGGCTTACTAACACTGCAATTTGAGTAAATTTGAAGGGTGATCCGCAATCACTTGATTGATAAAACAATTCTCAATGTCTCTTTTAAACGTTAGCTGTGACCTACGGATGGTGACGTTGGAATACCCTTTCTGCTTTGACAGTTACGATTCAATACATGTTTTGTGTTACAGGCTGCATAATGCAAAATATTTGTTATAAGTGTTTGTAAATATTACCTACCTCAACCTGGTGTGAATCAGATGGGGCCGTTCGAAAGAGATTTGGATGAAGTGTTTTGTTACTAAAACTGTCCATGGTAGCTGATGGAGATATTATTGGTACATCTGTATCTTTCATTAGTTCACTTACAATTTCAGCTGTTGGACTTCTACTTGGACCAATAATACCTACAAAAAAGTAATCGTAATTGTGTTGAAGCAAGTCAGTGAATTTATGAAGATGGTTGTTTAAGGGTAGGGATAGCTTTGCCCCTGTTACCAATACTATTAGGATTGATAAAAAAATAATAGTTTAATTCATGATTTCTTTGTAATTAATCCATTATTAGCAAGAACATTAATAAGTTCTCTCCCTTGAATAGAGTATCAATGGTTGATCATCTGGCAAACTCTAATACAAATTGAAATCAAGCTGTTGACCAGATGAGTTTTTAATAAAGAAAGAATGCATCTTGGTTGTTTATGTCATTCCAAGGGGAAACGCATGCGATTCAAACGCTACCATGATCGCCATGAGTTATTGTAAATAAAAAGACGGTCGTTCTAATGATATCTTGGAGGTTTTTAGATAAATTTGGGTGTAACAGAGGTTCTAGCAGATTGAATGCCTAGTTAGTTTTTCGAGTAATCAATTGGTTTAGCTTTACATATTCGGTTAATCTTAAAGATACTTTCGCCTCTCTGCTCGATGTATTGAACGACACAAAGTTTCTTAGGCTATATATAAAATTATATAGAAATATATGGTTTTCTTAGTTAAGGCGGCAACCAACCGGGCATTTTGTATTGGTCAAATTGGTATTATGTAAACGAGACTGTGAGTAAAACAATAACGAAACCTCTAGAAGTTGTAATATCAGTTAACATACCTATATTGGGTATTTTAACCGATTTATTGGATATACAGTCAGTAACAGCACTGGATAAATGAGGATTAACAAGTGACATGGCATTTCTAGCAGCAATCATCTTGGATCGGCAGTCATCATATAGCTTAAACCCTGTAAAAGACATAAGATACTTATAATAAAATATGTGTAAAAAATAAAAGTTTTCATCTTACGCAAGTACAAACTGAGAAACATACTTTGATGAAAACTGTGCATGTTTGTTATCTATCATACGAAAAATAGTATTTATTCATTCTCTAATTATGCAATCTCACATTTTTTATTTGGTATAGTGATACAGAAGTCTAATTATTCGCAGGACAGCTGAAGGAAATGGCGGCCAGCAAAATTATTTTTCCAGAATGAAAAATACTTGACAAGACTAAGACGAGTTCAAGATTTACAAATTTGCAAAGCGGAAAAATGATATGAAAAACCGGATATTAGCTCTATCTTTTGGTAAAGGGAATAAATACATGCGTTTTTAGTTGAGAATTAGAATTTATTTTGATTTCATTTTAAAATTACAATTATATATTTTAAATATTACGATGTGGAGCAACCACACTGCACCTTTAAGTGGGTATTGTCTTCTAATCAAGTAGTAACACGCTTTATCGAGAACTAATTAAGAACAATTCCAATATATCCTGACAATGCTTAGCTACAGACAATAGATACCCTTAGTAACCATCAACAATGGTCACGTGATTAATATGTTTCCGTGCCAACCATACACATTTATAATTGATTAAAGCAACACAATCGATATTATCTTTGTGCTGAAATAAACTTTTAACATTCGTGTTTTGTCAAGGAGAGAATCAAAACTGTTAATTCTACTACAAACGTTAAATGGCAGTGTCAGGAACATAAAGTAATCCTACATTGGCCCACTGTATGCCAAAGGCAACTTTTTTGGCCCTCGTTCCCAAGCTGTGATATACATAAGATATATATAAGAGTACCCCTTAAAACAGAAATAAGACATCTGAGAAGGCCTCAGGATAATTTGAACAAGTAGCAATCATCTGAAAAATGTTTTACTGAAAGTTTATAAACTTCATTTGAGACTTCGCCCATGAAAACATTTGTAACGCAGGTTAATGTAACATTGACATCTAATGGAGTATTGATTCAGATCAAATAACAATCTGAACCGTTCAGATAATATAAAACTATTTACTACCAAGAAAAATATATTTATAAAAGCAGTATGTCTGCCTCTGTCCAATCCATCCTAAAACAAAGTTTGTAACAGCTCTCATTTAAATTGGATGGCACTTGAATAGGTGGTTGATGATGAAAACTTTATGAATTGACGATTGAAGAGATATCCGACAATGCCAATGTTGAATAATTCAATGAATTGTAAATCAATCTGATTTTCTATGAACTGTGTACTGTGAAATAAGTATTTCTTAATCTTGGACATTGTAGGTCAGACAATCCAGGAATGCAAGTCCCAACGAAACATTGTCATTCACAAAATTAATGAAGGATTACATTTGTTTTCGATAATGGCTCTACGTACAATCCTTCAAATTCATTGCTGGTAAAAATAAATGATTTAAAAAAGGATAACCCCTCCCTACAATATGTTTTTGATTGCTGTCTTAGAATAGTTTCCTGGCACTTCCCTGCAGACTAACTAAATTGAATTTTCATAGTTGAGATATATCTCAAAAATAACAAAAGCAGAAATAGAGTTTGAATCAATCACGTTTTCGTGTGATTTCTGCATACATCAATATTCAGAAGACTTGACATTTAGAACAGATGCAATTGATTGCATTTTGACAAAATATAATTGAAACAAAGTTTCAGTTTCTTATTATTATAGTGGCAATAATGCCAAACTTTTTTTCAAGGTTGATTTCCTGATACCCCGAATCTATTGGGAAAGGCTTAATCAACAAATGTGACGAAACAATAATTTGGTCATATGATAGAAGACAGTTGTACTTTAAAATAGTGAGTCATAAGACATAAATTAGCAGTTATACTCATATTACAAAATCAGACATATTTATCAAAGTATTATCATTGTTATCTTATATTTCAACATGTTGAGTTATTGTTATTATATATGCATCGTCATCATGTTGACAAACTTGTCCTTTATAAGTAGCACTTGTTATCTGTTAATTATAATAGATGAAATTATATAATAAAATTAATGATATTGTAACCTTGACCGAAGAGAAAACTTTAATATATAACACATTCGGGTCTATATTTA